TTCCACAACATGAGCTGCAATGTTTTCTTCCCTGACATGCTTAATCAAACTCAAAAAAAAAAATACATAAAGAGTCTTAACATCTTCACACACAAGGGTATGTAGTTCAGAAAAATAAAGGACAAATGGGATCAGGCATTCAGCAATCATCAATAATTAGGAGATATTCAGCCTCAACTGACCGCCCAAGCTTGATTAATAGAGTTGTTTTCCTTTGAAGGAGACTATCTAAGCTTGGGTCAGACCCCTAGGGTTACCAACTCGAAAAGGTATGTCACACATGGATTGAACATAGATGGAGGACTTGCTAAACACATTCCCCTACCCTGGTCTACAGAGCCTACCCATACAAATTGGATGTGATTTTAATATTCTGAACCTGGTCAGGGAAACAAAACATGATAGCCAGGATAAACCCATCTCTTGGGTTGCACAACTAGGACAATTGGATTGGGCAAGAGGCACACTTCAGTTACAGAATTAGGACAGGAAAGTCACTAACGAAACCAGATGAGGCTCTTCAAGGCATGGTACAAATGAAACTCCAGGGCAAAGTCTATTGCTGAATTACTTATCCTACACCAGCTATGGAATATTATCCAATCATGATTCAAATCTATGCTAAATACCCAGGCCCAAACTTATTTACCCATGTTTTCAACGAGAAATCTAGCTTCAAATACAATTTCCAGGTTCAAGAGAAGAAAAAAGGAATTCTGTCATGATATGTAGACACAGGTCAAGGCAGAATAGAATGAGCAAGGACCAATCTGACAATGGAGAGATGCATCACAAGCAAACAATTACAACTCAACTTAAAAGATTGCATATATATTAAAACAAGAGCAAATCATTGTCACATTCACAGGGAATGCAACATTCATTAAGTCAGCTGAACAACTCGATGTCCATAGGCTTATGAAAACATGAATCAAAACACTCAGGTTGACGACAATTCAAATTTTCAACAGGGGGAGTGTAGCTTTCAACTGAGATAAGAATGAAATAGTTCAGAGAACTTACTGGGGGAAACAAATTTATCCTCAATTTTGAGTCAAGCAAAATGAGCTCATGGTTCACAATTCATAAAGCAAAGCAGCAGTGTTCATTAAACCATACGTGCTGAATGTACCAGCTCGATCAAACAGTCAACACCTCTTAATTTCTAAAAAGATTAATAGCAGCTCCCCTCATGTAACACTAGTTGTAACTTGTAAGTCAACTCACCCTCTAAGTCAGCATTCCACAAACTCAAACAAACTCGACTTAGGCCTCATTTGATAACACTTTTCAGAGGTATGGTGTCTGAAAAACTTGCTTTGCAGACACCAGACTTGTTTAGTGTTGCGTCTGAAAATCGATCTGAAATCTTTTTTCAGATCTGAAATTTTAAGTCAATAGCCTGTAACTTGTGCGTTTAGACATAATTGAGAGGTGCATAAAAGACATAAATACCCTCAAAAAATTTTAATATTACATATTTATGTCCTCCATGTAAATTGAATCGAACCCTCACTATGAACTAATGAAGCTCCACTGCCACCACTGCCGCTGCACTCTCTCTATCTCCTCTCTCTCTTGTATTCCCGCCACCATGGTTCTTCTCTCTCGCTCTCACTCTCTCTCCGCCCTGTCTTCCGCCACTGCAATGGTGGTTCTTCTCTCTCAATCTTGCTCTCTCTCTCCACCCTGTCTTCCACCACCGCCGCTGCAAAGTTGTAGAGGCAGTTCTCTCTGGCCCTCTCTCTCGATCTCTCGATTTTTCTCCCTCACTCTCTCTCTCTCTCCGCCTTGTCTTCCAGCCGCCACCGATACTATAAGTTGTAGCGGTTGCTCTCTCTCTCTCCCACTGTCTTCCCGCTCTCACTCTCTCTCTCCCCCTCCCTCTCTCTTTCTCTCTCCCTCTCTCCCCTATCTTCCCACCGCGGTGGCTCTCTCTCCCCTTGTCTTCTCTCTCTCGCCTCCCTCCCTCTCTCTCATTGTCTTCTACAATTTTTATTAATTATTAATTATTTTATTATTTTTTATTAAACATTAATTATTTATTATTGAATTTACTTGTGTTATTTATTCTTTATTAATTATTTTTATTAACTAGTAATTTTTAATTATTTCATTAATTTTTAAAAATTATTTTAATTTTTATTTGTGTAAATCATTAATTAGTAATTATTAATTATAGTCATTAATTATTTTTTTTAATTTTAATCATTTCATTTATTAATTTATTATTTTTTATTTGTATTGTTTCAATATTATTTTGAGGTTGAAAATTATTTTTTATGAGATAATGTAAATTGAATTCAATATTTCCAAATAGTATGTTCTAGGGGTAAAATAGTAAAATCAATAAATTTCAGATGGTAAAGGGTCCATCCAACACAAACAAACTTATGGATTCAAATCCTTTAAAAAGTAGAAAAGCAACCATGCCTCTTTTCATATTTCAAACACTATTAATATCTTTTTAACTTTTTAGATCTGAATTTTCAGATTTATCAAACGCCACCTTACCCACAATTTTGAAATTATTAAGTTTCGGATTTTAAATTGGAAAACATGCACACACAACCTGTTCAATTGCAAGCTCCCATGAAAGAAACATACTAAGTCAAAACTCTCAACACACCATCCTGACTATTCTCTTGTCACAACCAAGATTGAATCCTTCCATCCCTTTCCAGTAAACACCTCTCATTTCAGAACACAACTCCTTGTATCCCCCCCCCCTTTTGATGAGAGGTTCAGCCTATTGGGTGCCCTTTCAAGCTTTGCTGAGGAAATGATCACTCTATGAAGCTTTGCTTTGTTCATGGAATTCTTTGCTTAGACAAAAGGACTATGTTCCTCTTAAACATGCACCTATACAAAACAGCATTTGGTCTGGAAACAGATCCAGGAATAAGGGACTAGGGTCGACATGGAATGGATAGGGGTAATTTCATATCTGTCAAGCGGTTAGGTGCAGCATTCTATGAATTAGAGCAAAAACCTTAAAGAAGAAAGAAATTAAACGCACATGGAGCTGAGTACAGGCAGTTATCCATCCAAAACTGAGCATGTGTAGGAAAGACAAACATATACTTTAACAAGAGAGGGTGTAAGGGTCAAAGTTACGTTCCTAAGATTTTTTGTAAACGGTCAACCAAAAGTTGTCACTTATTCAAGCATATACTCAGATCTTTTTTTTTTTTTTTTTTTTTTTTTTGCAGTAAGTGACATCAACCTGCAAAGGGAAGCCCCTCACACTTTGCTTAAACTAGTATCCAAACTTAAAGACAAGCATTTGGATCTCATTTCAGATCCCCCACCATTCATTCCCAAGACCAATCTAGATTTCACCTTCACAATACACAAACTAGGACTAGTTTCTGATACAGAGTTTGAATGAGGACAGCCTTACCTTGAACCCAAATCCCTTCAGGCATTACTAGCATAGGTATTTTATTATTTCTTTTTTTTTTCTTTATTAACCTCTGAAACAACAGCAATTTCAATCTGGGGGATACAAAAGAAAGACTGTAGAGGTGGTCAAAGGTTAACGTTTCTGTCTTGTAATTTCACAGTGGCTGAATGGTAATGTCCAAAAACTGAGGTAATTTGTTATCAGCCCGCCCACTGACTTCTAGACTTTGAGGTTTTCTGCTAGCAGCGTCTAACCTCTAGTTACTTCACAAACTGATCCTGTGGGAACATTGCTCCTTGGTAGAATCCGAAATCTAATTCCCTAATTCTGCAAGAATCTCTATAACACCCCCAAGCCTATGACCAACATACTGAAATCCTTGGACGTCTGCACACCTGCTATAACCACTCAGGTTTTGCCTCATGAGGGAATAGGTTCTTGCTGCAGTTGTAGCAGTAAGAGTTAGCCCTGGTATGCTAGTGAAGTTGATCTTTACAAACAAGGCAAACACTCAAGGTGATCAACATCGGATGGATAAGCTTGTATATTTTATTATTTTTTATCTTTTTATCTTTTTTTTTCTCACTGTTTTTTCTTAATCTGCACATGAACCCCTAAATTGAAAATTTATTCAAACTTATCAAATTCAGCAACAAATAAGCATGAACATGAAGTAAATACTAACATCCAAACCTGATTTGAGTTAAAAATAAAAATCACTCATGCTTAAGCCAGCAGAAACTAAGAAGAAATTATTCATTTCATTCAGCAAAAGGAATAATCTGAACATAAAATCTAACTACTGATGACCTAACTTATGCATATTCAAGTAAACTCGGTCATGGTGCTCTACAACCAGCACGAATTCAAATTCAGCAAGGATTGCTAGCTTCCCAATTAATCAAAAATATTTATCCCATCAAATACCAAAACATGTAAATACATAGCACTTAGCACTTCTATTGTCTGTTACAAGTTCAACCTTGGCCCACATTGTCATTGCTTATTATGAACTGAACTTCTATTCAAAAAAGTACTGCTGCATTATTTAGTACTCATTCTAGAAAGTATCTAAGCAGAAATCCAACATGAACTCAAAAGCTAAAAAGCCAGTTTTATCAGAAAATTAAGAGCATGCAAATGCAGTGCCACCACCGTTTATTATGAATCCATCCAAGAACTGACTGGACTAACACAAAACATCAAGAGATAGCTTCGTCAAGAATTCAGATTGTACTATTATTAGTACCCATTAGAAATTCCACAAAAAGGAAAATGCAATCTAGCATGAGATGCTAAGTTAGAACCTAGGACAACAATCAGCATTCCAACTAGGTATGTGCATGGCATCATACTTATTTATCAGAATTTCACCCTGAGATTATTTAATACAGCGTTAACACAGAAATCAAGAAAGCTACTCGTATAGAAATATGTTGCTTCTCCTAGGGAACTCCATCAAAACCCAATCCAATAGAACAACAACATATAAAGAAAGAAAACAGGGGAGTTTCCCAAAAAAAAATCAGAAGAAACCTTAAACTCCAACTGGCTAAAACCCGAATTGTCAGCAAAATGATATTAGGAGTTTAGAGAAACAAACGGAATTACTTTATATCTTCTCTTTTTTTGGATATTTTGCAAAACCAAATAAAAGGAAACCACTAAGAATTTAAAACCAGCAGATACCAAATTGTTGTTAAAAAGCTGAAACCGATTGCCACAAGTGGAACCGTTAAGAGAAATGGTGTTCACACTGTTCTCAGCTTCCCCAGTGGAGTTGCCATTCTGTGATCATCAAGAAAATCACCGGCCGTTCACTTCATGGCCGAACAGTTGGGTCTCCCGGATTTAAATTTTACAAAATCATTTAGAATTAACAACTCCATACCAATCAGCAAGGACAAGGCCATTTTGGGTAAGTTGAGAAAGAGAGAGGAAAGGGGTTAGGCACCCCTCTCTAGTCAGTACGAATACTAGATTTCCCTTCTCTGCTTTAATTCGAATTAGAGCTAAGAATCCGTGTTTTCTTACAATAAGGAGGGATATGAAGAACGCTCCCTTATCCTCCGATCCAACCCCCTATTGGACGTAGGGGCCTAAGCAAAAAGGTAGGAAACCCTACCCCTTTTCTATCAATCCCTGCAAACATCCAAAAACACCATTGTTCTTGCACTTGCAAATAAAATACGAAATATACAAACAAAAAATAAAGAAAAACAAATATAAATATTTGAGGGTGAGATAAGGTTGTTACCTCAATGTAGCCTTAAAATAAGCGTTGAATGTTGTTGGGTGTTGTCGAAACAGAAGCCAAATGAACGGAAGATTGGTCGCCGAATAACTATATCGAACTATCAGATTTTGACTGATTCAAACGGTGGTGTAGAGGGAAAAACAACTTAGTTAATGTCGCTTTGGAACGCCTTAACTGACCTTACTACCAGTGATTCTACTCAATGGGTGATAGAGATGGAAGATGGGATCAGTGATTGACCAGTAATCTGAAAGGTGACGAGAGGAGAAGAGACGGCGAGAAGGGTGAGATTGGTACAAAAATGATGAGAATAGAAAGGTAGATGTGAGTGGCTGTTGCTGGTTGGGTTCCAACCTGCCACTACAGCTCACTGCAGCAACGAGAGAGAGGCTTAAAGTGCGGTTTAGAAAATCCGAGCTCCAATCAGTGGCGAGAGAAAGGCTTGAGAGGTTGGGTTCCAATAGCTCCAACTTGTAGATTTTGACATTTATTATAAATGAATAAAATACATAATTTATTCATGCTATCTATGGTGTACTTTTGTGTAATACCCTTAAACTAGACATTTATGAGACTCGTGTTAGTTTAGAATCTTCACAACCATTGGATAGACTTGTGGAGGTTTATCCTACTAAGGCTGACACTAATGTGCTGCCAATTCAGTTGGGGTGACTTGTTTCAGCTGCCAGGGTGAGACCTGAAGCACATGTAGTGCGGGTTTGTTTGAAACCTTGAACCGGACCATTTTCCAGTTATGCCTTGGACCTAAGAGATAGATGGGCAAAATGAAAAGTTACACTTAATCCCTAGACTCGATTATGGTACAGAATTAGGCGTTGGATTGGTTTATCTTTGATATGCCAATCAGTGAGATTCTTAGCGGGGTCAAAACTTGGGTATGTTGGGGCAGTCTGAGAATTCACTTGAATAGGTGATCATAGTGACAGTATCAACCCATTTGTTGGACAAAGTGAACAATCGGGGAATGCACTCTCTCTGATGGAAACCTAAACTACCGGTAGTTAATTTAAAAACAACAATTTGGTTTCACAAAATATATTTATATAGAAATATACATATATATTATGGTTTCACAAAATGTTTGCAAAGGATTTTAATTCCTGAGATCCATGTGAGCAGAAAGTGTAACACTGTACCTTGCAATCGAGGGAGGGGTCCTCTCTTGTCGGGTAGTGTTTGATCATTATGGGCTGAGAGGTTAAGTGTAAGACCATTTAGAACTTTTACCTGATGGGCTAATCTCACTTAAATTAAAGGGAAAGTGAGCCTGATGACTTAATGGGTTAAAGCCCAATTCGAACTGGGCTTGTGCCTACCTGACCTAGAGGGGGGGAATGGATTTGGATATAGAGTTTGGAGTTGCCACCTAAATTTTTGGAATTGGGAATTTAGGAAAACCCGGGATTTTTCAAGAAAAATATTTTGTTTTCATAGTGACTCATTGCCCAATGGAATAGAGATTCTTAGGGTCTGGGGACCAAGGTACAGTGTAAAAAGGTATTAGGCACTCCACACACGTCCGATTGAACCCCCTCTACTTCACCAATATTCCACGAAAACTTTCATAATTTCTAGGCTTAAAAATAAAACACGCACTAAACTAAGCAATTGGAATCTAGAAAGAAAAGAGGAAGTTCTAAACATTTAATCAATTAACTAACAGATGCATTTGAACCATTAGAATGATAACGATGGAGTAACTAATGAGTGACTAATGGACGAAACCTACTTCGTGCCATCGAGATGTGAAAAGTTAAATGCAAAATTTATAAGTTAGCAATAAACTATACATGAATATGAACTATACATGAATATGAACTATACACCTTAAAAGTTCAAAAGGAGCAAAATGAATATGAACTAGAAACTTAATGTGATATGACACGTTGGGGTTATGCAAACTATTCTACACTAATACAAAGATAACAAGGTACGGATGGAATTACTTAAATATGCAAATGTAGGAAGCTAATTACACAAATGGGATAATGCTAGTGAAATGTAAAATAAAAGAGGGACCCAGTTAGATGCTTGATTAAAAAAAGCCAAATTTAATTATCTAAGAAAAACATGAAACACAAGTATTCGAATGCAATTTTCAAGAAAATGATAGTAGACGTTTCTTAGACAATTAATTAGGAAATGTTCTAACGATTCCAAAATGCATGCAACATTGTTGGAGTAAACAAAGAGCACTCTAAGGGTGGGACTTTCATCTTCGGACAACTAATAAACCGATCCTACTCAACTATTTTCGAAAGAAGCAAAGATTTCTATATGACAAAACAATGACAATAAAATAATGGAAGTAGAGAACAGCATACCTTAATAATAGTTTGCTTCACAAAGTAGGAGTCGCCTCTCCCATCTTATCATTACATTGAATAGCTTCCCTCGTTAACTCCGATCTTGAGAGTTGCCCTTGTTATGTCTTTCATGAATCCTTTGAAACCTTGAAAGAGTCTTTGGTTTCAACATGAATTCTTTGTTATTTGGGAGGTTAATGATGTGATTATATAGCCTAAAATGTGAGAAAACATGCTAGATGACTGTAACTTTTCTGCAACAAGATTTTTGCATCAAGAATGCTTCACGCTTCTTTTCTTGGATGTATGTATGACTTGGGGAGCTTTAGGACTGAAACACTGATATGGGGAGACTCTAGGGATGTGAGAGATGGTGGAAAAAGAGTGTAGGACATGGGTTAGGGAAGCTTGGGGCGTGAAGGGGGTATTCTCTATACTAGCGAGTATAGAATAATTGCTCTAGGCTTTCTTGTGTGTTTAGGATGTGGGAAAAGGGTGGTATTTATAGATTTTTTGAGAGAGGAATGGAGGGTTGAGATGGGAGACAAGGAAGATCAATGGCTGATGTTTAAATGGTTTTTGGAGGGAGATTGATTGAGAGAATAGGCTATCAAGACAGCTTTGTGAGAGATTTTCTCAATCAATCAAGACAAAGAGTGAAAGATTTCACCAATTTACCTAAATTGGACATTCCAAGTTTAGGTGATCGGCTTGATTGATTGGAAGCTATAGCTGGTCAAATCTTAGATTTTTAAGATTTTTGTAGAGGCTGAGGGGAAGTTTTGGTCGTGGAATCCTAGGTTCAAAGTTATTGCGAAGAAGATTCTAAACAAAGGGCCTAGATCGAGTCTAGCTTCAGGTCTCAAGATAGATGGGCTAACAGTGTCGGAATTGGACGATCTTGGTACCATTGGACTCGGAATTTTGAGCTTTATCCATGTACAGGGTTGGATTTCAGATTTTTTGGGGTTTAGGATTTAGGATCAGAGATGATCCTGATCGGACGATCGGATTTGGTTCTAGCTTTGGGTCTTGAGATAAAAGGGTAAGCGGTGTCGGATTTGGGTGATCTTGGTGTTGCCGGATTTGGATTTTTGGGCTCTACGTACCTATAGTCTCATATTTTGGATTTGATATTAAATGAGGATTAGGATCAAAATGACTCTGATCGGACGATCAAAATTGGTTTCGACTTCGGGTCTCAAGATGAAGGGGTAAACAGTGTTGGATTTGGGTGATCTTGGTGTCATTGGATTTGGGTTTCTAGGCGCTAAAAATCTATGGTCTCAGATTTTGGATTTGATGTGAAATGAATATTAGGATTAAAATGACTCCGATCGGACGATCGAAATTGGTTTCGGCTTTGGGTCTTAGGATGATGGGGTAAACAGTGTCAGACTCGAGTGATCTTGGTGTCGTTGGATTTGGATTTTTGGGATCTACGTATCTATGGTCTCGGATTTTGGATTTGATTTGAAATGAGGATTAGGATCAAAATGACTCCGATCAGACGATCGGAATTGGTTCCGGTTTGGGTCTTAGGATGATGGGGTAAACGGTGTCGGACTTAGGCGATCTTGGTGTCATTGGATTCGGATTTTTGGGCTCTACGTACCTATGGTCTCAGATTTTGGATTTGATGTGAAATGAGGATTAGGATCAAAATGACTTCGATCTAACGATTAGAATCGGTTCCAGCTTCGGGTCTTAGGATGAAGGGGTAAACGGTGTTGGATTTGAGTGATCTTGGTGTTGTTAAATTTGGAATTTTAGGCTCTACGTACCTATGGTCTTGGATTCTTGAGGCCCCAACTTTTATAAAATTCTAAAAATACCCCCAAGTCAACCGCGAGGTTAGCTAAAGCATGCTTGAAGCTCATAGTGCTGCAGAAAGACTAAAGAGTACAAAAATGGGGTGTCTACAAGGCTAATTAGATTAATTAATTGTGGGCGGATTTGATATTAGATCTACTTCTAGATTAGCAAGAGGATAACATATGTCTTATCCACTTAAGAGTTCTGATCCAAATAAAGATTTGGATCAAAAATACATTTCCTGATAGGATTAGGAAGCTGATCCAGAGAAGTTATAAATAGAGGGAGAAATCCTTTTGTTAAACACTTTTTGCAAATCCCATATCTTCTCTCCATTCTTGTAACCCTACCCAGTTCAATCTCCATTCTTGGACTGATTAAGAAAGGTTCTTGATTCTGATTCTTGCCAGAAGAATCAAATATGAAGTTGTGCTCACATCCCCTGCGTGATCCTTGTTGAAGGATTGCAATTCTTGTTAAAGAATTACTTTGCTAATCCTACCTCATCGTAAGCTGTGTTATCTTTAGTGGAGGTGGGATTTGATGACCTTTTTGGGCATGAATACCTATGTTGGGAGCAACTTGTGTGGATTTCGTATCAGGTATAATCCTCCCTTAATCTTGGTTTTAGGTCTAGTCCGGTTTGTTTCAAGAACGAACCTTGAAAAATGCAATGTTTCTAAATCAAGGAATAGGATTCCTAGAAGGGAGAAAGAAAATTTTTGAAATTTCGCCTAGCCACCCTCCATGGTTTGGCCATCCATATGATGGATATCCCTTCCCTTAAGTGGTATCAGAGCCAAGTTCAAGTCTTAAACCAAATTTAGACCAGATCTGAACCTACGCAAATGGGCAGAAAATGTTCTACCCGATTTGCGCATGTTTACAATTTTTTGAGAAATCGGTTCTCAGTTTTGGGTGTGTGATCTGAAATTTAATTCTTTATTTATCTACAATAGTTTTAGAATTGTTCTATTATCGTTTCTTGAATTCTTAGGCTATTTGTATGATGGAAATCAAAATCTTGATTGGCACCAAGATCTGCGCACCCTATTATTTTTATTCTATTCAATTCAATTTGTAAATAATTTCTTTTTTATTTTTAGACAAAATGTATAGGATTTATTATGATGTAATTAATAGAAAATTAGGTTTTTCTATTTTTTTAACGTTGGAAAGGGTGCTGGTTCGCGCAAAGGAGAAGAAGAAATTTTGTAGATACAAGATCTAAGATCTACAATCTGCGATTTGCAAAAATTGTTTTTGCTATCTACGATTAATCTTTTTGCAGGTTTGCATGTTGTCCAAGATCATCACACTTATAGCGTCTGATTTTATTTTCTT